ATCAAAAACCTTCTCAACCTTAAATCAGAATTCTGGATCTCCCTTCCATCTACCAAATCAACAGCACTACTTGAGCAACCACCCAGTTGCTCAAGACAAAAACTTAGGGGTTTTGCTTCTATCCAAATCCTATTCTTCAAACAGACCTGTCAGTTCTACCTCCCAAATATAATCTCAATCCCATCATCTGTCACCACCTCCACTGTACTAGGTTTCCCTGAGAGCTCAGTTGGGTAAAGCTCCGCCTGCAATGCAGGAGACCGTGGTTTGATTCCTGGGTCAGGAAGATCTCCCAGAGAAGGGATAGGCTACCCTCAGAGAATGACCAGCATTGTTGGGCTTCCCTGGCTCAGCTGGTAAAGAATCTGCCTGCAATGCAGGAGAACTGGGTTTGATCCCTGGATTGGGAAGATCACCTGGAGAAAGCTACTAACTAAAGTATTCTGGCCTGGAGAATTCCATGTATAGTCTGTATAGTCCATGGGTTAGCAAAGACTCAGACATGCGTTAATATGCTGTATTGGTGTTTTTCTTTCTGACTTCATTCTGTATAATGGGCTCCAGTTTCATCCACCTCATTAGAACCGACTCAAATGCACTACAGGGTCACAGCAATTTCCAGAGCACGCCTCCAGGTCTCTGCCTAGACCCTGATTACCTGCTTAGGTCCTCAATGCAGGGTGGATCCAGGACCTGTGTCAGTACTCTGAGTTAAGAAGTAGTAACTTTTAAGTGTGGTGGGGCACCACCTTTGCACCCATCATCTCACTCATCCTCATGGTAAAACTTTCAGGGACTAATGATAACCCTATATGCAAAACAGAAAAAGAGACACACACACAAAAAAAAACAACCTTTCAGGGACAAACAGACACAGGGCTTTCTGAGGTACAGCTTGAGGTTCTCAGTTGAGTGACTTGATTTGCTGGCATATTGAGTGCAGCGCTTGCACAGCATCATCATTTAGGATTTGAAATAGCTTAGCTGGAATTCTATCACCTCCACTAAGCTAGTGATGCTTAGTGTAGTGATGTTTGTAGTGATGCTTCCTAAGGCCCGCTTGACTTCTCATTCCAGGATGTTTGGCTCGAGGTGAGTGATCACACCGTTGTGGTTATCTGTGTTAAGATCTTTTTTGTCTAGTTCTTCTGTGTATTCTTGCCACCTGTTCTTAGTATCTTCTGCTTCTGTTAGGACTGTACTGTTTCTCTCTATTGTGCCCATCTTTGCATGAAATATTCCCTTGGTATCTCCAATTTTCTTGAAGAGGTCTCTAGTCTTTCCCAGTCTATTGTTTTCCTCTATTTCTTTGCCTTGATCACTGAGGAAGGCTTTTTTTATTTTTCCTTGCTATCCATTGGAACTCTGCATTCACATGGGTATATCTTTCCTTTTCTCCTTTGCCTTTAGGTTCTCTTTTCTCAGCTATTTGTAAGGCCTCCTCAGACAGCATTTTCCTTTTTTGCATTTCTGGCGGGTTACATAACAACAGCAAAAGGAAAGATCCTAACTTGAATAATCTGGTTTCAGAACTCGTGGAACAAGAATTGGAACAACAATTTCCAACAAGAAGTGTAACTGATCAGTCCATTAGCTCCCTGCAGGCAAATCTATATGGGAAGCCAAACTACAATCAGAAAGACTGGAAGAGCCTGGGGGCAGATGACTTCAGTGGCTGCCATTACTCAACCAGGGTACCATTTCACTCCAAAGGCTGCCTCATGAACTGGAAATGCTCACTAGAGAGTCAGGGTACATCTGCCTTGGAGGGTACTTTGATGGTTGCAACCCCCTTGTTCCCTCCTCTCCTCCCTCGTTTCCAGCCCTCTTCTCTAATAAGGTTGTGGGTAAGAAATTACTTTCTTGTAATCATAGTCTTCTACTCTACTACCAGATAAGAAATCCCAGAGTTCACTGAACAGAAAGGCCAAATAAAGATGTTCAAATCACAGTTAACTGAATCCATTTAAAACATGAAACAAAGAGCAAGGGGGAATGATGAGCAAGAGTAAATTAACATACATATTAATAGAATAGGGTTCAATGATGGGGGAAGTACAACACAGTATCTAATGCTGAGTTACACAGTTTTCTGTCCTGTCTTGCTCTTTGGCATCAGCCTTCCCCATTGATGCTGCAGTTAAAAGGACTAGAAATGAGAGTGGGCAAGGGGACTCAGCAGACAGAAGGTTCTTGATCCTAATTTAAGCTTTTTCAGTCAGTGAGATACAGGGGCAAGTGTGCCTGGCCTTCATTGTAATTCACCAATAACTTGCTGAGTAGCTATGGATTTCTCTGTGTTCAGCATGCAGAGGACATTTTGGGCAACAGTGGCTGTCACCAGTGGATGGTTGATAGAAGCCATGAATACTGGGCACTTCATGTATCTCATAAGTATTTGATACGATACTTACTTAGTACTTTTGCTGCTGCTGCTGCTAAGTTGCTTTAGTCATGTCCAACTCTGTGCGANCTTCCCCAGTTATTATGGAGCGTAGAAGACCTACATTGGGTGAAATAGGCAGTAAATCTACCAACTTAAGTTTCTATTTCACTACAAGACTTTCACATAGAAAGATTTCACTTTAATCTTTCACAGAGATCTCATTTGATCCTTGAATCATTTCTGTAAGAAAGTCAGGAATTCTCAGCAACATTACAATGATAAAATGGGACTGTGGCAAAGTTAAGATTTGCCATGGTCCATATAACCCAGAATCTCTCTTCCTTTCTCCCTCATTCCCCATCCACCCCACATCTTCTGATTATCTGCGTGGGGGCTGGAATTGTACATGCTTATTTAAGATATTGGAACAATTCACAATGTTCAATGATTATAACAAAACCCAACACCTATAAATCACTCAAATTTCTGTGAACGTTCTTCCTGATAGTTTTCTATATATCCATACATATTTATATTTACTGGTAATATTCTGTATTAATGATAATTCTATCCTTTTGGCTCACATAGAGAAATAACATGTATATCAATAGCTACAATATAAAGTTTGGAGTCGAATGTTTCAGAGGAAGAACATTGTGAAAGATGACAGGCACATCTAGCCTTCAGGAGGATAATGCTGCTATTCAGAGAAGATGGGAGTCTGGAAAGATAAGGTAAACCTTGTCTTCAAACTGGTCCAGTGTGATGTCTGATTAGCCAGTGACACTTAAGTGCCTCTATCATCATGGTAATGGAAGTAGACATGCAGACTAAACAGTCATTTGTACGCATGTATTGAACTGAAAGTCCTGAATCAGCTATGGGAGGAACAAGCTGACAGCCAGGGCTGGCTTAAAGAGTACTTGGGGCTGGCTTAAAGAGTACTTGAGCCACTCAGGAGGTAGAAACGGGAAGGAAATTATTTTGTTACCAAATTAGAGGTGAAATAGCATTATATTCCTCACTGTTACAGATGGTTAAGAACGACAGAAACAAAACTATTAACACAAAAGTATGCATAATGTATACTCTGTGATTCAACAAAATTCAGAGGCTGGATATGGCTAACAGAAGATTCAGTCAGGCCTTATTTTAATAGTATTTAGTGGGGTAGACAAGGTGGGAAGAGGGATCACTATTAAAATCACTGTAAAGAAGATGTATAATTAATGGTTAAACTGTAATCTCAAAGAAATTTAAGAATAAAAAAAGAAATATATCCTTTCATAACAAAATTAAGTACTGTTAAAACACAACCAATTATATTTAGTAAAAGAAGCTGACTACATTTTTTTTATTCATACTTTTTTTTCTTTTTGCCCCAAATGCTTTAAGGAAATAAGCAATTGTACCTTTTCCTCCTGTAATATTTTGTCCTAAAAATTTTTTTTTTAATTAGGATCATTCACCTAAAGTTTTTTTTTTTGGTATCAAAGATGCAAAATTTAACATATGGTAAACAAATTAGGGCAACGTATACTCAGATTCTAAATATTTTTGTTTGATTTAAAGAAAACTGTTATTTAACCAGTTGTTCTCAAACTTTAATGTGTTTCAGAATCAACTGGAGGGTTTGTTAAAATACAGTTTGCTAGATCTGACTTTCCAGAGTTTCTCATGCAACAGGTCTGGGGTTTTGCAAAATCTGGGTCCAAGATTTTGGATTTCTAGCAATTCCCAGGTAAGCTGATGCTCCTAGACTAGATACCACACTTTGGGAATCACTAGTTTAGATAATGGATACATCGCACCCTCCTTCCTTTATTCTTTGATTTCTCTTCAAACTTTAGATAATCTCCTTCTTCAGAGGATCTCATATATTCAATCTGTATTGCCTTTAAATTGAAAAAAAAAAAAAAATCATAGTGATGTTTGAAATAGAAATGTCATCAGTTGCTGTCGAGATTTTAATTTGAAGGGAAGATGAAACATCTTGAACATTGAATCCTTTTGTTTACTTCTCACTTGGACATCTTCACAAATGTTATTCTTGCCTCTCCCTCCCAGATCCTACCCCTCCCCTTTACTCTATATCTTATCAGGAAGCCAGGCATTCTGCTCCTTAACAGCCTGATACAAGCCCAATCTCTACAGCCAAGCCTGATCATTTTCCAGCAGCCAGTGACCTTTGCTGTTAGGACTCCTATAATAATCTTTTACATTTCACATCATCCCAAATATGTGACACCATGTACTTTTGGGCTGTGTATTTATGTATTTTATGTATTATTTTTTTCCCCTAGTGCATGGGGCTGCAAAGAGTTGGAAACCTCTAAAATCATAGGCCTGGAACACCAAAAAAAACCCTTTTACTTGCAAACGTAATAGCTACAAAACTACAATTAGATTTAAGGACAAGAGGTGTGGACCTACGCTTCAATTCAAATTAGGGCAATTTAGCAGTGGTAGTATAGAGAAAGACTATAAGAATTTGCTTTTGCCTTATTAAAAATTAAACTGTGCTTTCTGTATTGATGGTATGTTTCTGACAGTCTCTTACTCTAAGCTGCAACAGGCCTTAATGGAAAAATCACATACCGTTTCTTGACAGCTGACCGTGTGGTTGGCCCTAAAAAGGGCCTTTGAGACCGTCACACAGCACAGGGGCAGCAGCTCAACCTCCGAAGCCGTAGAGCGTGCGTCCCTGCCGCTTTAGCGCGTAGACCACGTCCATGGCAGTGACCGTCTTGCGCTTGGCGTGCTCCGTGTAGGTGACAGCGTCCCGAATAACGTTCTCCAGAAACACCTTCAACACGCCTCGGGTCTCCTCGTAAATGAGGCCGGAAATGCGTTTCACTCCCCCACGCCGAGCAAGGCGCCGAATGGCGGGCTTGGTGATGCCTTGGATGTTATCTCTCAGGACTTTGCGATGACGCTTGGCGCCACCCTTGCCTAAGCCTTTGCCGCCCTTGCCTCTTCCAGACATGACTAAGCTGATCAGAAAACCTTTGAGACAGAAAGGGCTGCTTTTACCCCAGATATACAAGAGCAGCGGACCTGACTGAAAACCGAAAGCGCGCGAGCGGGAAGCGGTCCCAATTGTCCCCGCCCACTCGACTGTTAGTCATTTCTGCTGTTTCCCTATCCTCCTCCACCCTCCGCAGAGCCCTCTAATGGATCCTCTCCTTTCATGCTTATTAGTTTATTTTTGAAGTATAGTTATTTACAATTTTATATTAATTTCAGGTGTACCAACAACGATTCAATATTTTTATAAATCAGATTGCATTTAGTTATAAAATATTGGCTACATTATCTGTGCTGTAGAATATGCCCTTTTAGTTTATTTACGTTATACATAGTACTTTGTATTCCTTAATCCTCTACCCCTATCTTGCCCCTCTCCTCTCGTACGGTACTTTTATTTTTTAAATAATTTAATGGGTGAGTCATTTTTTAAAAATTTATTTTATTAGTCGCAGGCTAATTACTTTACAATATTGTGGACTGTACTCTTTTAAAAGATTTATTTGCCAGGATTCCCGGGAGAATTCGGATTCAAGCTTCCGGATCCTGCCGGTGTTTTCGCCTCTGTCTCGCGCCGTCTGTGAGGTCCCAGAAGACATTAGATTTAGGCTAAGAACAAAGGGATGGGGAGAAAAACCAGGGGGAAGGGCGGATGGAATCCAGAGACAGAAAGGAGTTAGTGAGCTCCAGCGCCGGATCTAACCCCGACAGAGAGATCCTAGGCTTCGAAACCACGGTTACATAAAACAGCAGACACGGTTTCCACAATTAGCTGGACAGACCCAGGAGGCGGCCCCTAGTGCAGCTGCACCTGGCATGCATGGGGAGCGGGAAGGAGAGGGAGCGCAGTAATTCCAGAGTCTCCTCTCTATTTTGTGCGTATGAGACATGGAGTTTCACCTCACCCAGGAGAAATCAGATCCTAGGAAAATTGGTCTCTATACTGCAAGGCTTCTTACGTGGAAGTCAGTGAATCCAACGCACTGTCATCCTAAGCTCTGCAGAAAGAAGCAATACATACAAAAAGAAGACTGAAGGGGTTTCTGTAGCTCAGTTCCTACAGATCCTCTACATCTGACCCTTGTTTTCAGCGAGAATTCAGTGCCTAAATTGAAGCCCCACATGAAGCTAGCAAAGTTTGCTGAATTGGGTTTCACACAAGAGGACATCTGCTCCATATTGAGAGTCATTATCAGAAACTGCCTTATGAAATTGATTGGGGTTCTACTGATAGCACATTCATTACCAGGGTCTTTTGTAGAATATAGGAAGAGATGTGGTTTCTACCTCAGAAAGAATTATCTTTTTTCTGAGATATGTTTATTATTTTTTTTCATGTCTAAAACATACAAACTTGAAAAAAAAAGAAAAAAGCTAATGGCTAAATGGAGCAATGTTAAATAAGGTGCAAAAAATTTATGTCCAGAATATTAGAAATTATAATTTTAACTAATATATTTGCAAATTATGTTGTATTAGCCTAGTCACTGGTGGGAAATAAGTCGTAACAGACAAAAAACAAAAAGAATAAACAACTTATCTGCCTTCTTTCATCTCTCCTTTAGTTCTATCTTCTGTGTGCTGCTGCTGCTGCTGCTAAGTTGCCTCAGTCGTGTCCGACTCTGTGCGACCCGGTAGAGCCCACCAGGCTCCCTCGTCCCTGGGATTGTCCAGGCAAGAACACTGGAGTGGGTTGCCATTTCCTTCTCCAATGCATGAAAGTGAAAAGTGAAAGTCAAGTCGCTCAGTCGTGTCCAACCGACTCTTAGCAACCCCATGGACTGCAGCCTACCAGTCTCCTCCATCTATGGGATTTTCCACTTCTGTGTGCTAATGAATCTTGAGTCTATATCTTTATCTAAACTTCTAGGCTCCAGGCACAGACATTCTCCTGGTTATTCTTCAGTCATTTTAAACTCAAAATCTCCCCAAATCAAAATGTTTAAACTCTCCAAGGTGTGACTCTTGTGGGGGTTGAGGAAATATATTCTCCCTCCACCCTATAAAAATTGAGGTTCTCTCTCTGCTCATCTGGAGAAGGAAATGGCAACCCACTCCAGTATTTGTGTCTGGAGAGTCCCATGGACTGAGGGGCCTGGCTGGCTACAGTCCATGGGGTTGCAGAGAGTCACACAACTGAGCGACTGAACAACTCTGATCATTGGATGGCGCTATCATGCATCACAAGCCTAAATGAGCACCCTGGAATTCACAGTAGATCTTGAAGGGTAGTAGCATATGCCACTTCAGAATATGACTGTTCTGGACATGCTACCGCAAAATATGTGGCATTGGTGTATTGATTATTTTGAGCTGTAATACTTTGAAAAACAGCTAATATAGGAGTAGACTTTCTTTGAACTCCTTTACCTACCTATAGACAGATCCTCAGAAAGGAACTCAGTGGATAGAAATCCCATTTCCATGGGATTTTATCAATCAGGGAAGATTGGCACAACAGAGGAGAGGAAACTGGACATCACTACCACATTCAGACAAATGTCACAAACGATCACACCACTCATCTGCTCTAGGGGCCCATTCGTCTTTCCTAAAATTCATTTACTCTCCCTTAAAGGCCTACCTGACCACTCTTTCCTATTAAGATGGTATTTAAGTCTATATTCTAAGCCATTTGGGGGAGTGATTCATTTTTCCCTGTATCTCTCACATAAACCTGAGGTATACCTATTAATAAATTTGTTTGTTTTTCTCTTGTTAATCTGTCTTTTATTACAGAGGTCTCAGCTGAGAACTCAGAAGGGTGGGGGGGAGGGGAATTATTTTTCCTTCCCTGTAATATCTTCCTCTCCATTTTCTGCTTCAGGGCAGAGAAACACATGCTTTTTTCTGACTCTTTAGCAACTCTTACAGAATCTATCACATTATTTTATGTATCTTTTGCATCTTATATATCTCCCCCCCCCACCCCACCCCGGCTTTTGAGTGCCTGGCAGTGGTTTTTATTTCTCTTTGTAAACCAACATGTTGTTCAGTATCTAGCACAAGCTCAATGATTGTTTATAAAATGAACAGTTCCTCCATTTGACTGCTTCCAATGCTACTAGGAAAGAAAGACACAACCAAAGTGTAACATGAAGAAACAACCGAAAGCCAAGGTTTGATCTCAAGTGGTCTCAGCTTGCAGCAGCTTGAAGCGGGGCTTTGGTTTCTGGCCAGGCTGAGGCTGGGGTCGTGGCGGTGAGAGCACCAAATCCTAGCCACTAGACCAGAGGTCGATGACAAGGCCCTGGCTCTCTGGCTTTGCAGAAAAGTATTTGCACAAAGATGGAAAGTAGTGAAACCAGTATTTGTTAGGAGGAAAAAAGAGTCCAGTATGTGCAGATAGACACACGGGCAGGCTGAGAGACAGTAGCACTCTCGTGGTGGTTTGAATCATTTTTATGGGGCATTGCTTCCAGGTTTCCTTGAAGCTTTTCCTTGAATGCCAGTCATTTCAGTTTGCCTGGTTCTGAGTCTGTATTTGGTGCATCTCAGGATCTTTCCATGTGCGCACATGCATCTTTTAGCTAAGATGGATTCTAGTGAACAGGCTTATAGGTAGTTGACATCAATTACTATGAGGTGATGGCCCCTCCCTTTTTGACCTCCAAGGAGCCTGTCTGCATGTGTGTATTCAGGGAAGTCTCCTTAACTTTGAATGAGAAATATGTGGTCTTTTCTCTCTTATCTGGGCAGAGCCCAGTCTCCTGAAAGAAACTGTTCAGCCTGGGGTCCATGTATCTCTTCCCCAGGCTGACAGAAGTGATGATTTTTGTCAGAGGGAACAGGGCCCTAGGCAGATTCAGAGAGAGTACAAACTTTCAGTATGCTTTATCCGCCTGTGAAGGGACTAATCACTCATTACCTAAACAAAATTCTCTCTGAAATAAATTCTTCTTTTCCCTGTTGCAAGTAAATTCAGATTGAGAAAGTAATCCATGTGCAGCTGTATTAAATGAAATAACATATGTACACTGTTGTTACAAAAATTAAATGAAAGGAATGTTGAGGAAGGGGATATGTTTAAAAAATACTTTTTTTTTTTTTTTCCTGGATAGGCTATATGCAGGTTGACTTGTGAGCATTCTGTTCTAATTTTCCCCACAGACCAGAAGTATTAAGTGTCCTGCTAACAACTGTAGCCTGAATTTTTTTTCTAAGTTGCAGTTCAGTTCATTCTCTCAGTCGTGTCTGACTCTTTGTGACCCCATGGACTGCCACATGCCAGGCTTCCCTGTCCATCATCAACACCTGGAGCCTACTCAAACTCATGTCCATCATGTCGGTGATGCCATCCAACCATCGCACCCTCTGTTGTCCCTTCTCCTCCCCCCTTCAGTCTTTCCCAGCGTCAGGATCTTTTCAAATGAGTCAGTTCTTCGAATCAGGTGGCCAAAGTATTGGAGCTTCAGATTCAGCATCAGTCCTTCCAATGAATATTCAGGAATGATCTCCTTTAGGATGGACTGGTTGGATCTCCTTGCAGTCCAAGGGGCTCTCAAGAGTCTTCTCCTACACCACAGTTCAAAAGCATCAATTTTTCAGCACTCAGCTTGTATGACCTAAACCAAATCCCTTATGATTATACAAAGAATAGATTCAGGGGTAAATCCGGTAGACAGAGTGCCTGAAGAACTGTGGATAGAGGTTCATAACACTGTATAGGAGGTAGTGACCAAAACCATCCCCTAGAAAAAGAAATCATAGAAGGCAATGTGGTTGTCTGAGGAGGCCTTACAAATAGCTGAGTAAAGACAAGAAGTGAGAAGCAAAGTAGAAAAGGAAGGATATGCACAATTCAATGCAGAGTTTCAAAGAATAGCAAGGAAAGATAAGAAAGCCTTCTTAAGTGAACAATGCAAAGAAAGAGGAAAACAATAGAATGGGAAAGACTAGAGATCTCTNACAAGACCAAAGGGTTTGGACAAAGGTAGCTAACTATGTGAAGTTAAGTGGGGGAGTTAACTAGGTAGAGAAGTAACTAGGAAGATATGGGTTAGTTTAATAAGGTTTGTTTGAGCAGATTCCTCTTGGCTTCCCAGGATTCCCTGTCTTGGAACACACTCCTGTACAGGGAAGACACCTACCATATGGGGCAGGGGGCTTAATCTCCTTTTTTAAGGAAGAAAAGGGGTTGTCAGAGGGCCCTTCTGGCATCTGCTGTTTTTCAAGTGCCTTTAGTTTAAAAAGCAAAAAATGAAAGTGAAAGTTGCTCAGCCACGGCTCCCTTCGCCACAAGGCTCCTCTGTCCATGCAGTTCTCTAGGCAAGAATACTGGAGCGAGTTGCCATTCCCTTCTCCAGGGGATCTTCCCGAACCAGGGAGCAAATCCAGCTCTCCTGCATTGCAGGCGGATTCTTTACCATCTGAGTCACCAGGGAAGTCCCCTGGTTTAAAATAATCCTTATATCAAAATGACATATTTTAGGGGTGGCATATATTGCCACTGATGGGGTTCAAGACATGCTACTCCAAAATACGGCACCTCAGCATATTGAATAAGCTGAAGAAATTTTGAGAAAATGACAGAAGCAGGAGGGTCACTATGACCTTCCCCAGACTTTCTCACCTGAAAGAGGTCATAAAACTCTTCTGTGAGAGGTGCTCTCCCTATTCCCAGAGAAAAAGAGCACCCTTATCTCTGAAGACAAAGGGACACACAAGAATCCTAATAAGCAGGCCTTACTGTTCCCCCAGTTTAGTACGCTTACCTCATACTCATTAACTGCTCATATTTCTACACGACACCTGCTCTTCATTAAATCTAGCATGAAAATGCTCAGGCTGCTTTCTTCAGATCTTCATTTCCTTATGAATGTTCCTGCATCGTGTAAAACTTAAATAAATGTGTGTGCTTTTTCCCTGTTAACCTGTCTTTGTTTGATTTTCAGACACAGCCAGGGACCCTAAGTGGGTCAAGGAAAATTTTTCCTCCCAAACACAATCCCTCACTGTACCTTACAGGCAGTAGTGTTAAGGTCAGGCAGGAAAGGGGAAGTGTTTATCCAATAAGGAGAGTGTTGGGGGAAAGAGTTTAGCTCAGAATGGGATAAGAAAGGAAACTCCAAATCCTTTGCCTTCTCTCAATTTGGTCCAGGGTTGAAATGCATTCAAAATGAAAAGAAGCAGGCACGTGGCCTGAAACCCACAGACCGAAAATTTAGTCTCAAAATTGAGATACTTGAAACCTCGTGGGTACTTGAAGTAAAAAACAAGACACAAACTATCTTCCTAGAACTTGTAATTTAGTTCATTACTTTTGTATTAAAAACAAACACATGCACATACAAAACATTGTATGTTTTGCCTGCTTATTTCCTACGGTAAAATTTAAGCTTCTCATGCCTGTTTTCTTCCCCTGAAGTGAAGTCGCTCAGTCATGTCCGACTCTTTGCTACCCCGTGGACTGTAGCCTGTTGCCCCAACAGCAAGCAATGGAGGACAAGGCTCCTCCATCCATGGGATTCTCCAGGCAAGAATACTGGAGTGGGTTGCCATTTACTCAGTACTAAATAACGAAATTTTAGTGCCCAGTCTTACAACTGCAGATTCTTGTTATTTCTAATGAAAGAAACTTCAGAAATATTAAAAGAGCAAAAGATTGCCTCTTCCTCACTGCTGCAGCAAAGCACAGATTCTTCTGTTATAAACTTGCTTTTGATAAAGTGGTATATTGAGAACATTGACAGGATTATTACTCTACTGTCCAATGTGGAGACTAGGTGAAATTGAACTAATATGAATCAGAATTCTCTTATTAAAGGTGACTTCTAAGACAATCATGTATCATATTAAAGATGACTTCTAAGGTGACCATATATTACAGATTATTATATTCAGAGAAATGTTACGTATGACCCATAATAATGTACTATTCTGATTATCTTATTTGATTTGTTGTCTCAGAGTTAACATTTAAGTTGGCATCACTGTTTTCTGAGAAGCAGAAATTCTTATTCAGCTTCTTTATTAAGCCAGAGGAGGACTCTCAGAATTTTCTCATTCTCTGTTATAAAGATACCAACTAAAAAAAAAAGAAAATAAAAAATGCACAACATGAGAGTTGTGAGTTATTTGGGGCAATACGAGGACTGCAGCCGGGGAGACCGCACCTCAGATAGCTCTGAGAAACTTCCAAAGAGGTAGAGGGAAAAGACAATATATACTTGATTTTGGCAAAAAGGGAGCACATGCAATCAAGCACATATTTTTTATAGAAAGTTTCTGCTGGCATTATGAAACTTCTGCTAGTCACAAGAAACAATTATCACCATGAAGGATTTTAGTGTTTTTCTAGATATCTTACATCTATATTTTCTTATAAGAATTGGGCTCATGAAATCAGCTCCTGAGAATATCTAACTATCTAAAGACCCATCCTGCCAGTTTTCCGGACCACAGAGTGCCTAATTTCTGCTTTCCACCCTGAACTCCTTCAAGGAGTGTTGGAGGTCAGCAGCTGCAGCAGCCCATGACTTAATCCTTGGAGGTAGACGGCAAGCACCTGTGGCAAGTGCCAAGTTTCGGTTGATAAAGATAATACAAGTCCCATTACTGTTGGATTATATATAAACAGACAGGTCCCATTACTGTTGGATTATATATAAACAGACAGCTTGAGAAACGTTTTCTCGTTTAAATGAACACATCCCATACAGCTTGGCCAAGAGTGGATACATCAAAACAAAACAAAAAAGTTTTTCAAAGAAATGTGACACTTGGGTAGGCAGCTTTGGGCTATAACCCAGACACCTACCGTGGGGTAGTTTCTTCTTCTGATGGTAACAACTGAGTTGAGTAATTCAACTATATGTTGGGAAAATTCTTCAGTGCTTTAAGATATATCCCAAGTCTGAAGAAACTGGAAATCCATTGTGATTTCATTCTTGTGCTTTAGAATATTATGTAGGCCTTGTTACTTATCCAAGATGAGCCATAACATCCCTGAGACTCAGTTTATCTCTAAAATGAGTTAAATAACATCTATTTCACAGAGCTGGAATTAAATAATATATGTAGAAAATTTTAAAGTAGTGAGCGGTGCTCTCTATATGCAAGATATTATTACAAAATAACAACAGGAGATGATAACAGTTGTTCACATCAGCAACACTTTCTCACTGACATTTTAGATCTTCTCCCTATAGCAGGAGATTGCTGCTGCCTAAGGAGACTTCTAATATGAATCAGAATTCTGTTACTAAAGGTGACTTCTAAGGCAACCATACATCACAGGTTGTTTCTACCTTGTATTTATTGTTCAGGAAAAACTCTCAAAATTACTTTTAACTTCAGGAGAGTGATCATCATACCTTTGAGCTAAGTTTTGAGCCTCTTGGACCTGATTTTATTCTCAAGTTTGAGTTTTTATATGTGATGTTTTTCCAATCAAATAAGCATATCATTAAAAGTGTTTGTTAGTTATTTCAATTTTAAGCATTGGTAATCTTACATAACTTTTATTACATGCAATTTTCTGAGAAATTCTTCAGAGCCCAGGAAATAAAAGGCAAAAGATCTTCAATTTCTGTATAGAGAATAGAAAAGATTTGAAACTGTAAGCATTAGGAAACACTTTATTGAAGAAAATATGCTAGCAGCTCAGTAATCAACGAATAATTTATATGCTTTGACCCTTTAACCTTAAATGACTGATAAGCAACTTGACTATTTAAAGCTATTCACTATTGTAAGGGAGAAAATATTTAGGGTCTTATCTTCCCTTACTTAAAGCGGTTTGTCCATAGGACCTAATTACAGATTGATGGATTGAGGAGAAAACCTCATTGGGGGTGGGGGGGTGGGGAAGGCAGATGGCTCTAACTCTGAGTTGGTAACCATCAGCACACAATTTTGGTGTAGTTCCGAACCAGGTAACGGTGAAGTTTAATTTCTGGTTCCTTCAACTACATATTGTTTTGTTGAACCTCAGTCGCAGTGTAACTGTCGCTTAATTCAGTGTCACGAGCTAAATAAATTTGTTAGTTATGGGAGAGGAGTTACAATAATTATTAAGTGGAAATGCAGGCTGAAACCTAGGGCGTGCTTGTATTTTGAAAGAACCTGCTAAAATATAAATCCCAAGCGTGCAAAAACACTTCATAAATTGTTCTTACGAAAGTTAACAGCAATATAAAGAAAAGGTCTTTAAAAAGAAATCTGTGATAAGATTATATAAAAGGGCTGGAAAAGGGAGGTCGTAAGTGAAGAGACTAGCATTGCAATCTTCTGCCCAAACAGGATTGAATTCTAGCCAATGAAATTACAATTTCGGAAATTGCTAGTTTTTCTGGCCCAATCAAGACGAGGCTATGTCTATAAATGAGACTGACTAGGAGGGCCGGTGAATAAAACCTGTGAGAAACCATGGCGCGTACGAAGCAGACTGCCCGCAAGTCGACCGGGGGCAAGGCCCCGCGGAAGCAGCTGGCCACCAAGGCCGCTCGCAAGAGCGCGCCGGCCACGGGCGGCGTCAAGAAGCCGCACCGCTACCGGCCGGGCACCGTGGCCCTGCGGGAGATCCGGCGCTACCAGAAGTCGACCGAGCTGCTGATCCGGAAGCTGCCGTTCCAGCGGCTGGTGCGCGAGATCGCGCAGGACTTCAAGACGGACCTGCGCTTCCAGAGCTCGGCCGTGATGGCGCTGCAGGAGGCGAGCGAGGCCTACCTGGTGGGGCTGTTTGAAGACACGAACCTGTGCGCCATCCACGCCAAGCGCGTGACCATCATGCCCAAAGACATCCAGCTGGCTCGCCGCATCCGCGGGGAGCGGGCTTAAGGCGTACATTTTAAAGTAGACGATCTAAAGGCTCTTTTCAGAGCCACCACGTTTTCATAAAAAGCAGCTGTACCAGCTTTCACTTTAGTCGGTGAGCTTTTAAATCACGAATGTTAAGGGTAAAGCGGGTAGGGGAGTTTTAACACGCGTTGAGTGGTGAGGTTATGGAATTAAAGCTGACAGACGCTAGAGGGAGTCCCAGAAGCGAGGTCTAGGTCATTTTTGTTAACTGCGCTTACAAGCCAGTTTGATTTCTTAAAGCAGAGCGCCAACCTAGATAATTCTGAGAAAACGGCAAGAAGCTAAATTCTCTGCCAGTTGTAGCGCTTTCCAAGCTGCTAGTACAAAACGGCAGCACAAATCTGAATACTGAAGAAGGCCGCCATTATGTGGTTACTGTAGGAATGGTAATCGGTTTCAGCTCGATTCTACAGTTACTAGAATTGGGCCAGGTGTTAGATAAATCCTCGATCCCCAAGTAGTTCCTCGGTATTTCAACTGTTAAGAATGAGGACAAGAGCCCTGAGATATGTCGGATCCCATCTTCCTAACTGCATGAGACAGAAGGCGCAAACCGTAAAAAAAAAGGGGGGGCGGGGCCTGGGGGTAAGGTATTGTTGCGAAAACCAGAACCAAACTTCCACAAAATAGTACAGAGGAGTAAAACGATGCAAAAATAAGAGAAAGTTAGCTTGTCTTTAGCACGCGCTTCAGATCGCTACTATATACAAGTCAACAAGAAAAAGTGAAAATCATTTAGCAAAAGACCCCAAACAGGTGAAACTACATTTACTTAATTTAGTGTGAAACAGAACATTTTGATTGGTTAACAAGACATTTGTTGTAAGAACCACTAAGAAAACGCCAGCGGAACCTCATTTACATGGACTCTGCCTCTCTATGACGACACTTGTATATTAACCAATAAAAATGCAGTACTGTTAGCCTTCATTTGCACAAAGGCTCTATAAATAACGCGTAAGAGGCCAGGTCTGAAGTAGTCGGCATCGTTTAATACACGCGCGTGGCGTGTGTTTCTGCAAAAATGCCGGATCCAGTAAAATCCGCTCCTGCTCCTAAAAAAGGTTCTAAAAAAGCTGTCACGAAAGTGCAGAAGAAGGACGGCAAGAAGCGCAAGCGCAGCCGCAAGGAGAGCTATTCCGTGTACGTGTACAAGGTGCTGAAACAAGTACACCCGGACACCGGCATCTCGTCCAAAGCCATGGGCATCATGAACTCCTTCGTCAATGATATTTTCGAGCGCATTGCTGGGGAAGCGTCGCGCCTGGCGCATTACAACAAGCGCTCGACCATTACTTCCCGGGAGATCCAGACGGCGGTGCGCCTGCTGCTGCCCGGCGAGCTGGCCAAACACGCCGTGTCCGAGGGCACCAAGGCGGTCACCAAATACACGAGCTCAAAGTAAGGGCGCTCAAAGGACGAAGTCGAACATCTACGTTATACACAAAGGCTCTTTTCAGAGCCACTTACTTTACCAGAGAAAGTGGCTGTAAACTCTTTAGAATTAGTTGCGTTGGGTGGGTCCGTAATTAGGATCGCATTTACATGTGGGGCTAGGTTGGGTCAATGGTGAAAGTTGCCCTAGTAATTCAAATTCGAAGCGTCCCATGGTCCAGTGGTGCCACCTAGTGGTAAGTGTCGTCCTGCTGGTAATAAGTGGTGGTCAAGATGGTCCCTACCTGCCTAGTCTGAGTCCTCAGTGGAGTTTAGGTACGGGGCGAGAGGGGGCTAACCTACTAAACTCACTTGTTCTTTTATCTAGTAAGCGAGCTGGGATTTACTCTCAACGTACAGATAGAGTGTTTTGAGTTCCCCAATCCTCGCTGTTTACTAATATTTTAGTCTTTTTTTAAACGTACACCTCCGGGTATCTGTCCCAAGCTTTTGCCAACATAGCCGGGTGCTTTAGTATGTTGGCCTATCAGCAAATCGCAACTTAGCCATCCTCCTCTAACTTCTTAGCCTGGTGACCCTCGACCAGATAAGTTTTCGCACTTCGCCCCCCAACCCCAACCATGGGACGTTTGGCAAATCTGGAGACGTTTGGACTCCAGGGAACTTGGAGGGGTGCTACCTCACTTGGGAGGGTGCTACCGGTGTTCCGTGGGTACATCCTATATAGGGCAGCTTACCGCCCCCACAGCTAAGAGTTTCCTCTTGTGCGTAACGTTGATTGTTGTGATAAGGCTGAGAGACCTAGTGCCCAAAGGCTTCCTTTCCTTCAGGGCTGTACTTTTTTTTCTCCCCTCTTAGGATTTAGTCCTCATCTAGATCAAATATTTTCCCCTGTCCTCTGCTTTTGGTGAAAACTGACCAGCACATAATTTACTGTGATTGCCTACATTCCTCCACAGGAAAATAATCTCCAGGGCAAGGACCTTGTCAGTTTTGTAACAAACTTCCCTGGTTAAAAGAACCACTTACCAGCCTGCTAAACATACATCCAGGTGCCTGTCCTGAAGTTCCCTGATAAAGTCAGGTTGGGGGTGAGGACTGGGGAGGTGGATTTTGGTATTCTCGGGTGTCTTTTTTTTTTTTAATGGATTTTGGGGGCATGATGTATAAAAGGGCACAGTTAACGTGGGATGAATTTCTAAGGCTCTCTCAGAATTTGCAAAACTCAAGACTAATCCTGACAAAGGTTGGATATTTTACCAAATAAAATATACCCTTGAGGCAAAAGGACAAAATCTTAGTTTCTAATTCACTTGACAGTCAAGTTTTTATATTAATCAAACTTGGGGGAATTTACATGACTGTGCTTAAAGTGAATTTTATTAATTTATAATGTAGGAGTTCAGATTTACATCTAATTAAAAGTTGAATAAAGTGGGCTGTATGTGATTTCTCTCTTTCACGTAGAAATAAAGATTGTCAGTGAGTCATCTTTCCCCAGAGACTATCAGACAAAGAGGCCAGGGAAAGATGAGTCAACTGAGAATCTAAAATTTCCAGTTGAAAGAAAAAAAATCATTATACAATACATTTCATGGTAGGAAAAATCACTATACGTTTAAAGGCCAGGGTGGTCTGTCTTCTACCCATCAGATAGTATATCTGTTCTTCTCCTCAACTAGAATCCTAAAGTTCAGGGGCTCTCTTCTCCCTGAGGACTAGGGACCATGTTTCTTATGGGCTTTTGAAGTTGTTAAAGCACTGGCAGTTGGCTCATCTAATCAAAAGCCATCATTATTTATCCAGTGACTAAAAGATTAAACCTCAATTCCTTATCCTGATACTAAAGGCCTTCTATCATCTTGCCAAAAGGTACCTTCTTCAATTACTTGTTTCCCCCAGTCCTCCAGCTTAGCTAAAATGTTATACTCACTATCCTTTCAGTTCAGTTCAGTTCAGTCACTCAGTCATGTCCAATTCTGTGACCCCATGAACCCCAGCACGCCAGGCCTCCCTGTCCATCACCAACTCCCAGAGTCCACCCAAACCCATATCCATTGAGTTGGTGATGCCATCCAACCATCTCATCCTCTGTCGTCCCCCTCTCCTCCTGCCCTCAGTCTTTCCCAGCATCAGGGTATTTTCCAATGAGTCAGCTTTTCACATCAGGTGGCCAAAATATTGGAGCTTCCATTTCAGCATCAGTCCNCAAATCTCTATGTGGGATACCATTGGTAAATATATTAATACTATTGAATGATTACACTTTTGGGGTAGATGGAATTATCAAGCACCAATCAGTAATGTTTGCTTTATGATAGAAACATATTGAAGCAGAAAAATAGGTTTCTTCCTTTCACATATTTTTAATCAGTCATGTAAATTTCACAGCATGTTTAGATTGGAGTGAAAATGATACTTTCAAAACAGCCAAGATTGAAAAATATTTTCCTCCCTGAGCCAAATACTGGTGATTCTCTCCCAGGAAGATATTTGTCTTAGTTTTAGAGAACAAATGCTAAAATATCACATTTCTTTTAGGCAATTTTCCTTTCGTGTAAAACTCATTGTTTAATGCATTCATTCATTCTCCCAACATTTTATATGCTTCTAATATATGCCAGAGACTGGTAGTGAGCTAAAAAAGGAGCTGTCAATGTGGAAAATATGGAATCGTGAGAGAAATAGGCATTTAGAGAATATTTCATCTAAAACATTAGTAATATTATGAGAGGAGAATACAAGTTCTTATGAAACATTTGGAAGATATTATCTAAGATGGAATTTTGGGAAAGCTTATATGAGGAAATGATATTTGAGCCCAGATCTGAGAACAAAAGAGTCATTCATTTAGTAAATAACACGTCAGACAGATAAATGAGATGTGATAAAAACCTTTGTGTTAGAAGATAACATGTATGGGAAATTAAAGGAACTGAAAGAAAGCTCATGTGGATAGTGGGCCGAGAACAAGGGAAGGAAGTACTAGGAATTATCTAGAAATGCTAGAATTAAAATTTACTTTTATTTGAGGAAAGTGAGAGAAGTGAAATCTAAGAATATTTTATTGTCAACATTGCTTAAATTTAATTTTAAAATTTTACAGCTTAAATTTTGTTTACCTTTATTTAAAAGAAGAAAAAAAAAGCCCAGTATTTCTCTTGTGTATGCCACTACCAAGTGGCAATGGTGTGTCAAAGGCTTAGCCACAGAGGGTAAATACTAAGATTTAACTACAGATGTGTTTAAAACAGTTTTCCTCTTTGAAAACATTGCAGACTACATATATCTAAGCATTAGTGCTAAATCAATAGTTCACAGGGTCACAGAGTCAGATACAACTGAGCGACTGAGCAACAATGTTAAGTACATTTTCATAGAAAACATTAGAAAAATTCTTAAGGGTTTAAATTTGAAGATTTTACATGTTATCTCTTATGTTATTGTCATAAATGCAGTCTAACTTACCTTTAATATATACAGTGATTTAAATATTATTTGACTCATTTGCTTCTAGTCATTTGAAGACAGATGTTCTGGAAGTTTTCATTGGCTTTCTGTCTAGTTGTCAAAATCTCTCTCTGTTACTCCCTCATCATAACACTAAAGTGAAAGTGAAGTCGCTCAGTCCTGTCAGACTCTGCGACCCCATGGACTGTAGCCTGCCAGGATCCTCATCCATGGGATTTTCCAGGCAAGAATACTGGAGTGGGTTGCCATTTCCTTCTCCGAACACATATCCTATTGATATGTATCTTATGTAATTATAGTCTCCAGGATAAACAATTTTTCAACTAATTATTGAAATTGCTGGAAAAAAAAACTGCCGCTGCTGCTAAGTCGCATCAGTTGTGTCCGACTCTGTGCGACCCCGTAGACGGCAGCCTACCAGGCTCCACTGTCCATGGGATTTTCCAGGCAAGAGTGCTGGAGTGGGTTGCCATTGCCTTCTCCGATTACTTTGCTAGCATGTAATTAGTGTCAAATTACCCCAGCTTGTTGGGGTAGTTTGAACATTCTTTATCATTGCCTTTCTTTGATATTGGAATGAAAACGGACCTTTTTCAGACCTGTGGCCACTGCCATTGTTATCCCTATCTTCTCAAGCTACATCTGGAATAGAGTGGGCACTCAGTAAATACTGATGGGATGAATTGACTGATGAGTGAAGGAGTAGTTGAGAAGGGAGGGCAGAGGAATTGCATTTATAAGATGCAGACGTCTTAAGAGTTGGATTTAACAAAAAATTATTTTTAGAATCTTTTGCCCTCTGAATGGGGAATGGCACAATACAGAGTGAGTCTAGGTGAAGTTGCAGCCACCACGGTCCAGAAGTCACTTTAGAAGCTTCATAATGTACATTGTTGGGCATTTAAGGATACTTATCTACAGTTAACTTAGAAGCCACAAGAGCATAAGAGGAAAATTTTTGTTTCCTCTACTTACTTACTTTCAATCCTTATGGTCAGCAAGTGTGTGGGTTTTCCACATCAAGCAATTTTGACTTAATTACATGGAGTTAGCTCAGACCCCCCACACATTAAGGGCTCAGCCAAGGAGATTGCCCCCCCCACCCCCAACACACACCAACTTCAGATACCAATCACAGGTGGTAGATCCCTGTACGTCTTGGCTACAGATCAGGAGTTCCCACAACCCCTTCCCCTGTTTCAATAATTTGCTATAACAGTTTACAGAAGTCAGGCAAACATGTTTACCATTATAAAGGATATATAATAAAGGATCCAGACTACCAGCCAGATGAAGACGTACACAGGGCAAGATCTGCCAGTGTCCTGAGTGCAGGAGCTTCTGTCCCTGTGTAATTGGGTGTCCACATTGCTTCCTGGCATGTGGGTATGTTCACTGACCCAGAAGCTCTCTGAATCTCATATTTAGGGATTTTTATGGAGGTTCTGTCAAGTAAGCATGATGGATTATTAACTCAGTCTCCAATCCCTCTCTGGAGAAGGCAATGGCATCCCACTCCAGTACTCTTGCCTGGAAAATCCCATGGATGGAGGAGCCTGGTAGGCTGCAGTCTATGGGGTCACGAAGAGTCGGACACCACTGAGCAACTTCACTTTCACTTTTCACTTTCATGCATTGGAGAAGGAAATGGCAACCCACTCCAGTGTTCTTGCCTGGAGAATCCCAAGGACAGCGGAGCCTGGTGCGCTGCCGTCTACGGGGTCGCACAGAGTCAGACACGACTGAAGTGACTTAGCAGCAGCAGCAGCCAGTCCCTCTCTCTTCCCTGGAGGATGTAGGGTTAACAGTTTCAATCTTCTAATCTATACCCAGCCTTTCTGGTGATCAGCCCCTTTCCTGAAGCTACCCAGGAGTCCAAGAAGAGTCATCTCATTAGGCTCCTATTACCCAGAAAATCCCAAGGGGTTGAGGAGCTCTGTGTCAGGAATTGGGATCAAAGACCAAATATTAGAACAAAAGATGCTCTTAGCACCACTGTCACAAAGAGTTTTAGGATCTCTGTGTCAGTAACTGGGAAAGAGACCAAATATACACTTATTATGTCAGAGTCCACGCCATGGTCTCTGGCCATGGACCCCTTATAACAAACCAGTTATAAAAGTCAAGACACTGGCTGAAAGGCAGTGTTCTGTAGTAGTGATGGGCATTAGCTTTGAGTCCCAGCTTCCCCACCCAAGGGCTCAATGACCTTAGGAAAGTTTCTTTGCTCCTCTGAACCTCAATTTCCTCTTCTGTGAAATGAGAAAGATAATGGAATGTACCTTCCAGGCTTGTTGTGAAGATTAAATGAGATAATGTACTTAATGCACATAGAACAGCAGCTGGAACATTGGCAGACATTTGATCAGTGTCTCTCCCATTATTATTGTGACAGGGAAGGCACTTGCATGGGCACTCCTGTACCTCCAGAGCACATTTCTTTCCCAACAAGCTGTGTTTAAGAGATTCCTAGAGACTTGCCAGTCAACTCCCTAAGCATCTTGCATTAGAGCAATAAGACCTTCTTTATTTTAAAAACATCCAAGAAGGCCATGCCACAGTTTACTTGTTGGGCCTATGATTCTGTAGAATCTTCAAGTTATCTGCTATGTGTCTCAATAGGGGAAAAAAATGAATGACATAACAAAAGTCCTTATTTCTAATGTCTGTTACTAATGCTGTATAAAGACCGATATAATCTTTGACAAATACCTTTAAAAAATAGATTTTCCATCAGTACTTTCAGAAAAAAATGGAATACTCTCAATACTTCTTTCCTACTTCTGATTTCTGAGTTGAAATCTCTGAATTTGGAGGATTTACCACAAGAACAAGCCAAATGAATAGAAATGATCTAGGGCATACTATCAGGTAGCACAGAGAAGGACACACCTTATAACTGAAAGGAGAATGTGTGAATAATTGGGAAATGTTTAGTTAGAAATTCAAAACTTCGCTTGGTGGAGTCAGGTTGATGACTTCTGAGTTCTTCATTTCTGCTTGTTAAAGTACCTAATGTTTTTCTTTTCAGTATTTTCAAGATGAAGCACCTGTTCCTGTCACCTATTCCAAACCCAGTTTCCCCAAGAATGTAAGCAAAACTTTCTTATTCAAACTGCAGTCGGAGGAGTGGCAGACAAGAAGATGATAATCCCCAAACCTCAATATTTCTTTTCTTTGACTGCGAACTCATTATACAATAAATATTTCCCGTGGTTTTACTAAACAGCATCATAAGAATCTAGAGAGTATCATTATCAATCAGCCAAAGGAACTTTGTTTTGAATGGCCAAAGCCAGAAACAGAGAGCAAAGTAGGAGAACTAATTGAGCTTGAGCAGTTCTTTACCACTTTTCCTCAGAGGACCCAGACCAAGATGATAACTGGTCTTGGGACTGAGGCAGCACAAGACACCCATTTTTCTCCTGTGGCAAAAAAATGGAGGATGTAGATTTGTGAAATGAAATAAAAACCAATTTCTCTCTGTTGTTTTACAGGATCAAAGGCAATAATTTTAAATTGCCAGAAGGTAGGGGAAAATCCTTATCATTCTTTTTTTTTTTTTTTACTTGAGGAAGCCCTTCTGGTGGGCAGGAAAAGGTCATGGTAGGCTCAGTGTCTGAAAATCCAATATGGATTTCTTTTTTTTTTTTCCATTTATTTTTATTAGTTGGAGGCTAATTATAATATTGTAGTGGTTTTTGCCATACATTGACATGAATCAATCATGGATTTACATGTGTTCCCCATCCTGATCCCCCCCTCCCACCTCCCTCCCCATCCCATCCCTTTGGGTCTCATTGTTTTTTTTAATCAGCGTTTTTAACATTCAGGGGAAGACAAAATACCTAAAGCTATCAGCTTTGTTTTTTGTTATTGTTGGCAGTGATGTTGGAGATTTGTGTGGGACTTAGTTTCCAGTTAGTGGGATTATCATTTTCAAATGCATTGAAGGAAAACTCTTTAGCCCAAGAGGGAATGTGAAACAGAATTCAGACATACCACACCCCTGGGGCAAAGGTTGTTCAGTGTTCTTAACAAAATTTCCAACTTTAGGGTTGGGCCTTAAACCACTTGAATATCTTTCTGGAGATGTAGATTTCATCTAGTTTAGCATGTCCACTTACTCACACTCCCTATTATAACATGGAGAATAATGAGGAGAAGAAAGTCATACTGATTAACTTGTATATATATCAACCATAAGATTACTTCCAGCAAGGGAGCATATCCTTGTTTTCATAGGCTTTTCACTTTTCTCCCTGCTGCAACATGAAAATAGAATAAGAATCATTTTGCTTATGCAAGCTGTTTTGTAGGTGCCTTTTCCTGTAATGTCTTTGTAAATGTTTGATTTTTTCACATTAATATCGAGGAACTGGGCGACAGAAATTATTCTTAAATGAATTTTTTTCAGAAACAGCAAGTATGCCTAAAGAACACAATTTTAGAATTAGGAAAGTTAACCAAGGCAGAATCTGAATTTCAATTCTTAGACTAGAGAAAAAAAGTAAGAAATCTTTTCATTTGGCTAAGGGAACTTCATGGTATTTATGATTGTGGAATCTGTTTAGGCTGGAAGGGGCATAATAGATAAATCTTTCTGGATTAGTGCATGTAAATCATTTATAATGGGAAATAGTAAAGTAAAAATAGTAAAACAAAACAAAGCAAAACAGCTGTGGCTATTTTTTCTGACAGGAGAAAATAGTAGTATGTACATGGATTATAAGCATGACTGAGTCTTTCAGATTGAGTTGTCAGATAACCATGTAGCAGGGCCCCACAGCAGCACAGAGCTGTCAAAGTGACAGTGTAGGATAATGTAGTCTTAAAATCTTCTGAGTATGCCATTGTACAGTGTGTTAGTAGAGTGCAGTGCAGAACCCAAGTGTCATACATGCTGGTCCTGAGTAAAGGAGACTTTCACAGAATTTATATCTTCAGACTGCAAGTTTTCCATTAAATGCAGAGTATACAGAGATGAAGTAAAAGTATCTTTATCTATAGACATGGTGATAAAATGTCAAAACACAAAGAGTTAAGGAGAAAATTCCAGAAACAGAAAAGTTCTTTGCAAAGAAATAGAAATAAAGTTATGTCAGAGTTCTCATTTGGACAACTTTGGATATAAGAAGACAATGAATTGGTATTTTTTAAAATCTAGGCAAAATAATTTTGAAACTGAAATTCTATATCCAACGAAACTATCATCTAAGTGTGGATTGACTTTTCAGGCCCTCCCTGAAAGAATTTCTAGAATCATACTGCAAGAATAAGAAAAGATTCTAAGAGGAAGATATGAGATACCTGAAGGGGGCCATGTGCCAGTAGAATGTATTGCTAAGTCTAAGTTCTAGAAAAATTTCTTTAAGGTTTAGAATACTTGCTGTTTATTCATCCATCTAATTTCATTATTGAGTGTCTTTATAGAGAAATTAGAAATCAGGTGATAGGAGAGAGATGAAAAAAAATGAATCAGAAAAGGCTCAACTAACAAAGGAATATAACACATATACCAAATTACCTATAATAAAAATTTAAAAAGAAATGTGTTATAAAAGATAGATACAAAGTGGTGCTGTGGTAAAAGAATCTGTGTTTTGCCCAAAGTTTAAACTTTCGACTCAGGTTTGAAGGATTTGTTAACAAAAGAAACCACTTGTCATACACAAATAATTTCAATATTTAATAGAGAATTATCTAACTTACTTTCAATAAACAATCATTAAAAGGAAAGAGAAACAATACAGCAGATACATAACCAAATTGGGTTTTTACAAACATCCAGACTCAAACAGCGCTGGCAAGTCCCATGTAACAGCAGCAATCTGAAACCCCAATTGGGAAAAGGTCCTAGGCAGTGTCCACTCCACAGGTGAGACTTCGAAATTGTAGTTTGGGGGTTCCTGTTTATAATCCCAGGCTGCAAACTGATATCATCATCCATCTGTGAGCAAACTGTAGCTCTGGTGTCACGTTAATCTTTCACAATGCTGTATGTTTTATCTTGTGAGTGTTGATACTCTCTGGCCTGGGAGATTGGATCTCCAGAGCTCAGGAGAATTCCAAGACTCACTCCCTATCTTATCTCTGATGCTGCCCAGTGGGCTGGTAACAGCCAGTGTATGTGCATGCCAGGCAAGTCAGGGACAAGTCAGAGGCCTGCTCTGCTTTCTTTGTTTCTGAAGCCTGAAAAAGACCACTTCCCTAACAGTGCCTGCAGTGCAGGAGACATAAGAGATTCGGGTTCAATCTCTGAATTGGGAAGATTGCCTGGAGTAGGAAAGGGCAACCCGTTCCAGTTTTCTTACCTGGAAAATCCCATGGGCAGAGCATGGAGGGCTACAGTGTAGGGTTGAAAAGAGTTGCATGTGGGGTCGGTTGTGAGGTTAGAGGTACAGGTGACGCTGTTTGTGATATCCTGGATCACATGAGAAGCGTTAACTTATTTTACCCACCATGTGTGTATTGAAATCTCCCTCTGTTTTGATTACTGATTCAAGTTTGGATTTTAAGATTTTTGTTTAGGTAACTCTGTGATTACACAGTTTTTTACATTTGTGGTCTCTCCTCCACATTTTATCTACTATTTAAAAAAAACAAGAGTTCAAAACCATTAGTGACCTCAAATATAGATTCTTTTGGTCTAGATCCTAAAAATTAAAAACAAAATCTGGACTTCAAATTCCAGATGATATTGACATGGTGGGGGGTGAGAATGAAGAGAAATAAAACAAGCTAATATTTATGTTATACTCAGGAGGATATAATTATTATTCTAGAAGTTAGAAAAGTGTAAGTTTAAATACACCTGTACATACAAAATGTATATGTATAAAAGTTGACTTATAAAGTACTAAAAGTACTAAATATATAGTACTAAATATTTAATATTCAGAAAAACGGAAATCCATTAAGCAGTGATCAAACCAGTCAATCCTAAAGGAAATAAACCCTGAATATTCACTGGAAGGACTGATGCTAAAGGTGAAGTTTCAATACTTTGGCCACCTGATGTGAAGAGCTGACTCATTGGAAAAGACCCTGATGCTGGGAAAGATTGAGGGCAGGAAGAGAAGGGGGCGACAGAGGATGCAGTGGTTGGATGGCATCACTGATTCAATGGAAAAGAGTTTGAGCAAATTCTGGGAGATAGTGAAGGATAGAGAAGTCTGGCATGCTGAAGTTCATGGGGTTGCAAAGAGTCAGACAGGACTTAGCAACTGAACAACAAGAACAATAAGAACTGTTCGTCTGCACTTGAAAGGTGACTGTAGGAAGAAAACTTCCAGTTGAATATGAAACCCATTTGCTAATTGTGTGTGTGGGGGGAGGGACAAAGCTTTTAAATTATACAATGTAAAAAAATTGTTTGCATCTAACACAGGTACACACACGTGCATATCCTCACGAGTGCATACACAAAGATTTAAAGTAAGTCAACAATCAAGTGTTAATTATGTTAGTATAGATACATCTTTCTCAGGAATTAAGACTAAGTCAACAAAAACTTATTTGAAGATACAGAGGATTTGAAGAGCATAGTTAACAAGATCAATCATAAGTGTACTACACCTGCATCATTTTTATCCGAGTACATTATATTGAAATTCACATGCAAAACTGATTAGAAACTGACCATGTGTGAGATGACAAATGAAAACTCAACAAGTGCTGAGAAAACTGAAGCCATACAAGATATATTTGCTAATCATAATGCAATGAAATTACTAAAAATACGATCCTTGATCTATACTGTTGGGGAAAAGCAAATAGTTAAAGAAGATAGCAAAATAAAAATTATATACTCCTTAGAAATAAAGTGAACATTACATATTAAAACCTATATGAAGAGGTCAGAGGAGAATTCAGAGCTTTAAAATGCATTTATGAGAAAATAAGAACTATTAAAAAACAATGAATTAAAAGCTATTAAAAGCTAATAAAGGAATAAACCCGAGAAAAGCAGAAAAAATAAATGAGGATAGAAATCAATGGAACAGACTTCCCCACTCCCCCAAAACAATTAATTAAAACCATAATCTGGTTCTTTGAAAGAAAATTTAAAATTACTCCTTTAATAAATTTAAGTTTGAAAGAAAAAGTACACAACTATCAGCAACATTCGATACATAAGTATTAAAATGGTATGTATATTTTGGTACATAGATTCCTTCTCAGACTAGGAACCTCCTGTGTGTTCTGAAGCGGGCCTGGACTTTAGCAGA